TTCCATAAATGTAAATTTAGTACACTTTTGTGCTACGAAATGATTGGATGAAAAGTATCAATTAATACCAAACTGTTAGGAATTAAATGTATCATTTAATTTACCATAATGATAAACGAAATTCCGCATTTTTCAGAATCTGTACATTAAGTAACTGTATTAAAATACAGACTTTTGACGACTCTGGCGCACCATAGTAATGTCCCCCAGAGCTGTTGGTGGTACAAAATTTAGTAGTTTGATTTTCTCAAGTTCCTTCTATTCGTTGTAGGTAATTGTGCCAGTTCCGATTAAAATGTCAATAATCAACCGCCTCACAATTCTCGGCACTTGTTGATGACAATTTAATGTCAGTATATTACAACAACAAAAAAAAAGATAAATTAGCAATAATAGCTTATAGTAATTTAACATTTATTTGCAAGATACTTCAAGGAGAACAAGTTTCCGAGTCTTTTTTTTTTTTTTTTTAAAAAAAAAAAAGAGCTTTATCCGACCGCTTTTCACTAGCAAGTAACATCATTGTTGCTTTAAAGGGAAAATATTAATATTCAAATAAAATATATTTATTGCATATCTGATATGTCGGTACATGCAAATAAAATTGAGAAGAAACAAAGACGAGTTTCAAACAGATATTGAAAAAGAAAAGCAGTCAAGCTAATAAATCTTGCCTTAGATAAAAGTCATCATACATATACAACATGAATAAAGGTTTTTCATTCATTAACTAGTCCAATATTGTTTCTCACAAGTATTCTCGAAACGTATACCTATCGTCTATGCGCATGTTTCTGTTGTAGGGCTGGTTATTATGCCAGTATGCGTAAACGTGCACTTCGTTCCAGTGTTCACTAGTTGAGAAAGAATATTCGCAAGTTTTTCAACCGGAAAAACAGGATCTGTAAGAATAGACCCAAGTATCTCTTTCTCTGCGTCTTTAAGTTGATAAATACTCTCGTCGCTTTTATCCGTAATGTTCGTCGACCTGGAGACTGTGCCACGTTCTGGTGAAACGTCGCGTCGGACTCGCTTGCCTTTAGCTTTTTTTTTATCGGTGGTCATTTTCTCATGTAACGTCTGCTATTTGTAAGAGACTATATTCTGCGCTCGACATCCTTTCGTAACTTTCTTCACTGATTTGTAAACGTCCTGCTCTAATATTGCGTTTAAACGAGTTATTCCTATGTCATATGATTAAAAAAGCCTTTCAAACCTTCTGACTTCATCTCCTTACTGTATGAGAATAATTCATGGGTTAAAGAATTTGATCGAGAAAATGCGTCGGTTAAGTCGTCTATAAGGTTCCACATCCCCTCTTTATGAGATTTAACATTTCTTTCCTTTTGCACAAGAACATTATCACCAATATATTCAGAAAACAATAGTTCCAAGCGGTCCTTCTCTGATTGAACTGCTGAAATTTGTAGACTTAACTCATCACTTGTCATCGGGTTTTCTCCGATATTTTATTTGATAAACATAACACCAAATCTCTCTAATGCTTCATCAAAACCAAAAAAATGTCCGGGACGAGTCAAGTTTATGGAGCAGACATGTTTAAGAAGAGTTTATAGCTGCGGATCATCTGTAACACATGCCAGAAAGTGTGGCACTGATCTCATATAATTCCATTTCCTTGCGACAGGCAGAAGAGGTGCAGACGCAGATAGATTCTGAAACTGCATATCGTAATTACCCTTCCTAATGCCAATCTTGTGACCGATCCAATATGTTGCCCACCGAAAATAATAATACCAAACCTTAGCGACATTATTTGTTCCATTCGGAATATCAGACAACGAGAGATTTTTTTTTGTGAATATTGAATTAACGCACATCCAACAGCCACCCATATTAACTCCAGCACACGACACGTAGCTGAGTAATCTGTTACTTTTTCTAGTTTGTCTAGAAATAAAACTCCTAAACGTGCCGCTAATTGAAAAATACCGTACCCAGAAAAAATAGTAATTAACGTTTGACACATTTCTTTCGAGGTATGCCACTGCCCTAACAAGACTCTACATTATGGATTGTTTTCTTTATACGGAATTAAACGTGAAGAGATAGCTTCATCGCAAACAATGTCCAGATATCCTGTATTTTCTATGCTTACTTCATTAAAGTACATCTCACAAGCCTTGTGTACATTAATGTTGCAATTAGGGGTTTCTCCGGGGTTTAATATAATTACGTTGGGTGGTGCAATATTACATCCAGTAGTTATAGTTTGTTTGATTGCATCCAACGCACTATTGTGATCCCAATCACGCCTTGGTTTTTTAAGAAAGTCACTAAGTATATATTCACAAGTGTTTAAAAAATTATTCGTGTATATTGATTCGCCAAACAAAACTCGCTGATCTCTAGGATTAGTAATATTTTGCACTACACCTAGAATTTGTTTTATTGGCTTTGAAAACTCGAACTGGAACAACATTCTTAAAGTCGCATGAACACTCCGCCTTGTTGTATCGAATATGTTGCCATAAGCAAATGTTTTTTCCATGAAATCAATATTATCTATTACAGCGAGGCTCCAGATATTTTCATTATTCTTGATTCTACTTTCCGGTTTGACATCACACATTCGCTTTCTTTCCAGTTTTCTCTCATACTGTCGACTACGAGACAAAACATTAGCAGTCCATAGTATAGCATGAAGCGACGATATAGGCTTTGGTTTTCTGGCTAAGGAACTCAGGACATTTGTCAACCAAATGTTTGTTGCCGGAAATGCCATGTTTAAAATCATCGAAATTAGGAAAATATTAATTTTGGTTACTTTTGCATCATCAAAGGAAACCGCTGATAAGTTTCTCTGCAGCCTTTTTTGGTATTTTACATCATGCTCTGCCTTCTGAATAGTCGAAACAAACTTAGTAGTAAATTGTTTTAAGACAGATGGAAACCCATCCTGATACTCGTTAAGAGATGTTGGCGTTTCCAACTTATTTTTATTTTGTCGAATCCATGCTCGTGATCTCAAAACTTCATTGCCCAGACTCTCTCCAAATCGTACTGCAAGCTCAGGTGTAAATTGAATTTCGTCGTATCAACTTCATTGATACTCAAAACCGTACGTAAAATTAAAGGATTTACAGGCTTTACTGGACTTTTTTGCTTGCTTGTATACATATGTAGAACGGACGTTAAATGACCTAATAAATTTTCTTTCTCTTCTACATTCTCTGATTCTGTCATTTTTAAAATCCATTTATTGTACGTTTTTAGTGACATATTGACATCGTTAACGTGTTTGTCTTTGCATGAAAACGTTCGATTTCTCCCGGCACCAGGGGGTTCGTACATGTGTCCGCCATTTGACGTGAAGCATTGTGTACAAATAAAGCGAGTGTAATATTCTCTCAATGGTTTATTGATAAGAAATTCTGGTATGTTGCAAATCTTAAAGGCGGAACACACTTTCAATCCCGAACAAGGTATCTTTCCTGCAATATCCACAGAATGATCGACACAATTGTTTCCCCGACTGACAAATGATTTATATTTGTTACATAACAAACATTTTCTCGAATACACCCAACTCGAATCAATTGATCTCTTATTTTTACTGTCAGGATGGAGTTTCACACGATCGCAAGAATAATGAGCAGAACAAACGCTAAGACTTGAAAGAGTTTTTTCTTTGTGTGCTTTTATGAATGTCTTTCTGTCGATTTCCTAAGTTCCTACTAGTTGTTTTAATGGTCGTTGATTAGGTCCGAGCTCACAGCATTGTCTAATTTCGCTATTTATTATGTCAAGGACAACACAAGCAGTGCAAGCACTGGAATCTGTAATCAATTCTATATTTTCATCCTGCCCAGCTTCTGTCGCTGTTGATCCAACCGAACATTGCGTAGATATGTCATCGAGGTCTTCAACATCATGATCTGCAAGACGTATGCTCTGCATAGGCTCGAGCATCCTCCAACTGTTCTTTATCCAATGTGAACTCATAATTTGTTATATAATCACCGTGAAGTTCTTGACTAATGCTTCCTTCTGCAATAATGCTAGATAAGACACTATCTGTTGCAAAGCTCTCATTGTCAAATGTATCTTCGTCTATATCTTGATACCTAAATTCTGTCCCACTAATAAAGTCGTTGAATGTGAGAGTGTTTTTGGACTGGAGTTTGCTGGTGTATAAGTATCGATAATTGGGGCATAAAATTTTAATTTCAGACGCGACCTCTTATATTATTGCTGTTTTCAAAATGGTGCGATCATCACAAATAAAAAAATAATTTGATAAAAACGTGACTACAGTCTACCAATAAAATTTAAGGAGAAAAGTGTTACACGATAAATAGGTGATTTCTTCCGTCACAGATCCATTATCGAAAATTTTTTCGTTGTCACGTTTGTCCGAAGACCCAGACACGACGAAAGATACTTCAAAGGGTTTTCAGAAATCACCTAAATCGACAATGTTATAAGAAAACCGAGCTCTCATAGAAACTGTTTTCATAAGCAAAAACCTTTTGTTAAGTTGAAGCAAGAAGGTGTTACCTATACAATGAAGATTTTCTACGCTGTATTTTACTATGAAATTCCAAGTCACATGGATTGTCAATCATTAGTTAAATCCACGTCAGTACATTTATCGATACGTGACGATCAGCCCTTACTAAAATCTCTGTGCCACTGTCAAATACTGGCTAAAAACAAGTATGTCTTTTGCGGAGACCTTGACGACTCAACTCGAGACGAACCCGCTGAACTGGTTCCTCCTTGCATTTCTTATTTACGTGGTGTACTCATACTTGACCCCTCCAAGTAAGTGTGTACATGTTTCTTTGTTTCCATTCGGAACATGAAGAAAAGGCTCACTTGATATCCAAATAGCTCACGTCCCCCCCAAAGCGAGACATCCAGAGACAACTGTCTTTCGTCATTATACACCAAGACAGCTGAGAGCATATGACGGCCGAACTCAAAATAAAATCTATCTGGCCGTATGCGGAAATGTGTATGATGTGACACGGGGACGTAATTTCTACGGTCCAGGTAGAGTATAAAGTAACCTTTCCCCTCTCAATCATGTTTGCCCCTTATTCCTTGATTCTGGCTCAATCTCATTATATCAGATGGTCCATATGGTAATTTTGCTGGCCGTGATGCCTCGCGCGGTTTATCCAAAAATTCATTTGATCTCGATGTTTTGACACCAATTGATCAGCCGATTGATACTCTGGAAGACCTAACGCCAGAAGAATTAGACGTTTTGAGAGATTGGCATGATCATTTCAGGAACAAGTACGAATGTGTTGGAAAGTTAATTAATGAGGAAGGCATGTGAAGGAAGAAAGGAAGGAAGACAGAGACACTGAGGATAAACACATCTAACTTTTTGAAGAGTAATTCCGCAAGGATTAGATTGTAGGTATGATTATTTAGCGGCTGAAAATCGAAGGCTGGCAAATTATACTATACATCGATGAGTAAGATATATTTAATGAATGAATTCAAGTTCCCAATTACTGATACTAAATTGTCGGGTTCCTACTTGGAAATCGAATGGTTAAAGAAAGGAAGATAGCAGTTATATTAAAATTATAATAATGTTTATTCGATCGAGAAGCCACAATAATTCCTTCGAGATTGTTATCAAATAGTTGACGACAGCCCGAAGCCTATGGCAAATATATGACATTACGCATATCGAAGATTGATGATTTTAATTCTGAAGAGGAACATAATTACTGTATGTTTAAATATTTATGCACGAAACCTGAAAAAGTTGCTCCTCATCAAAGTGCTAAATACAATACTGTATCTTAATCTGTGATTTACAGTATATACTAATACGTTGTTCAATAACTCTATTAAAGATTATCTATGTGATTTTACTGTTATTGTATATACGAATACATGCTTCCAAAGTATGAAACCCAATCCGGTCGGTAAAGATTACAATTACAATAGCTGAATTCCATGGAAACTTTCTCCCAAAGAATATGAATTGAATAAAAAATTGGCGTTGCTGATTCACATGAATGGTCGCAAAGTTCCTAAGCGTAACTATAAGAAGATGTGGAAAGAAAGAAAAGACTTCTTTATCTTGAAGATATAATAATAGTCGAATCAACAATCGCGAGAGAGCAATCGATCTCTGACCTGGTTCTCCTAATTCTAGTTCAATACAACGACAGTTATAGTGACTTGCAAACTAGGCGACCTTGTGGCGATCGACAGACACTATTCTAGACGGTTATTCGTCCTCGAGTTAATCGCCTACGTGTATTCCCTTCTGGTGGGATTATTCCGGAATTGTATCTATCTAAAACGCGTTTCCAGTTCATATACTCTGAGATGCAACGATGTCCGTGGATATTCTCGTGGATTACGATTGTTATTCACTTTAAGTACTCGTTTATGCGTCATCGACATCGTACCTCACAAACAATACAGAAATGATCAATACTATACAGTGTATAAAAAAATTATTGGCAAAAAAGGTATGTAGACTTAAAATCGCGTAACTTTCCCAAATATAAACCAAATCACATAAACTTGTTTTTGTTTTAACCACAAAAATGAGCTGTCAGGGAAATGATTTTCGGAGAAACGAACCGAACCCCATAGCGACGCCCTCTTTTCCACGACAAATTCGGGTTTTGCCGATATTTATTTCTCACCAATGGATGCGTTCTTTTACTCTATAATGCAAACCTTAACACTATTAGAGTACATTACGAAGACTTTTATGGCTCACCCCACTGCAAATGTCAGCTAACAAATACGATTACTAGTGAATCAGTTTTTGTGCCTATATCGAGACCCGCATCTACTGATGAAACTAATGAGAAGATGACTTGAGTAACGTGGATGAGATGATATACTCGTAGTGGAGAATTTACTGGAACGTGCAAAAAATTCGCGGTACAAATAAGCTTTTTAAATAAACATAAAACCAGCTTTAGTACTCGCCTTGGCTGGAATTGAACGTAAATCGATCAAAAGGACCTAATGAGACCGTTATACGCACGCCATTTGTATAAAAAAATACAAAAATTACTGTTAAACTTAAAATAATGTAATTAGCTCCATAATTACCCCGAGCCATATTTGTTGGGCACGTTGGCTTGACTGCATTTCTGGCATGCGTTTATACCGTTTAGGAGTAGCATCTTTAGCTTTGTCACCACGACACACGCTCAGCCCTGATTGTTGGGCAGGTGTTTGGTTCCTAGATTTCTACATCAACTTAAGTGGGGAATAGAATTAATGCGAGAGGGACACAGAATGGATGACCAGTGAAGCGCTTTAACCCGAGCAGCAGGGCATAGGCGGATTCCTTCTCATGTTGACTTCCGCCACAATTCTCTGAACCTAAAGTCTGGTGCTTTATATTCATGAACAATCACATTATTTCCTTTATCATTATTTTCCCTATAATGATATCAATTCTGCAGCAATTACTTTATTAATAACTATATACATATGACACCACTACTCGCGTGGTTAGTCTGTTAATTTCAGTTGATAAACCCTGAATCACAGCTAGGAAACGTTGTAACTCCCTTGAAGAAAAGGCTTGCAACAATTTTTTGTGACAAAGAAATCAACAATTAATATTATAATTACATGTTTCAAACATTTGGTGATTAATTATTTAATGTCCGACAAATTCGCTGCCTTCTCTGTTTACTATCCATTTAATCCATTGCAGTTGGAGCGGTATGTATTGTATGTATTAATGATCCATTTGCTAGAACGCGGCTAAATGCTTGATTGCCCGATAGGTATTAACAATTTTGTACAACATTATTTATGCAGTTTCTTTCTGTCTGGACTTGGTGCCTCAGTTACTAATTAAGCAAATTTGATTTCCTCACGTACGCAGAGAGCTCTTTATTGCTGGGTATTATATTGTTACACAAATAATTATGCTTCAGAACCCAGTAGCAATCAACATTTTTTCTCATTAAAAAGTATGTGAATAATTCCAGAAGAACAGATTGAACGGGAGACGCAAAAATTGTGTTTAAAGACAAAATAAGAAAAATGATACAAAGTTTATTGAATGGCCTCTGTGGCCTCTACGAACATAATTTAACTACCAAAAAATGATGGCAGAACAGCATTAATCGAGAATGCTAAAAGCTGTTGCCGGCAGAAGTTGTGAGATATGAACAAATGGAATCGGGAAGCGAAAGCGAGTCATGAAAAAAGGCTAAGCACAGGCAAATGAAAAGTTTCGACAAATCAGGGACAGTTTGTTTAATAGTTTCGCACTTGGGAAGTTGATGATAGTCATTCGCATAGAAGGTTCAACTTAGCATCCACAGTTGCCGGCATTCGGCGACGCCTGCGACAGGTCTACTCCTCCTCTGCCGTTCAATCCATTCCGTTGACGCGAGTTGGCTGCTGCTAACTGCTCAAGTGGCATCTTTTTTGCTGAAGATGGATAAGTCAACGCAATACAGTTTGTGATAGTCGAGATTTAGATTGTCGCCAATTGTCGCGTAACAAATGCATGAGAAACATCTCAGTTAATTAATACATAATTAATTAAGCTTATACAAAGAAATGCCAGTAACACCGACCTATTTCCGTGAAGAGCTCATTTACGTTGATTGATGTCTTGGCCGATGTTTCAAAGAAAAGGAGATCTGTATCAACTGCATAAGCTTTTGCTTCCTGTTAGTGTAAACGCAATTATAGTCTATTATTAGCAAGCAATAGAAGAGAATGAACTAAACAAACATCGAATGTAATCTACCTCGGTCTCGATCGCCCTACGTGCGGCGAGGTCGCATTTATTACCAGCAAGTGCAATGACGATACTTGGGTCTGCTTGTCTTTGTAGTTCTTTTACCCAAGCCTTGGCTTTGTCCAGAGACGACTTTTAGAATGTAATAAATTAAATCAGTTCAAGAACTTTCGACAATAAAAAGATAAAAGTATAGCTTAAACCTACCGCCTGAGTTATATCATAAACTACAACAGCACAATTTGCATTCCTGTAATACATTGGCGCCAAACTCTATGTGCAACAAAAAAGAAAAAGAAGAAAAAAACACTTTTGATATAAAACTTATTCGAAATAATCGTATATGCGCATGCATCAATAAGACCTACCTTGTAGCGTTCTTGTCCCGCCGTATCCCTATAAGAATGGTCGGCGAGTATATTAGCAAATATATTGATTAAATGTAGATCTTTCTTTACAACGCAGTTCGCTAAAACGTACCAGATCTCAAACTTAACGGTAGTATTATCATCGAGACTAATTGTCTGTGTAAGAAAAGCAGCTACAGAAACGAAACCATTTTCCTGCGTGAAAAACGAATGCGCAGTATCTCCTGACTCGGTATAAAGATCCTTACCTCCAATAGTACTCTCTTTATAGTCATCAAACTGATCTTTAACGAAACGTAATACCAAGCTATCATAAAGAAAGGAAAGAAAAATGTCCCACAGCTTAGTAGAGCAATTGCGACCAGAGAAAAGAATCAACTGGTATACTAGAGTCGGTTCGCGCGGTTTACATTGTCAACTTCGCACGACAAAGACTGCTTGAACGGTCTTCAAAGGTAGCAAGCTTTCCGCTTCGTCTATGTTAAACGGAAAGTTTTGCACGAACCTTGATTTGCCGACAGCCGACTCGCCTTGTTTGTTGTCAAAACAGACAAGAATCGATAAGCAACAGAAAATGGACTCGGGTGAAAACACACAACACAGAATAAAAGCTCGAAGAGATCGCTCAAATAACTAAAAAATCCGCCCGAGAACGACTGATCACTCCTGAGAAAGTGTTCGAATATCTCGTTCATACCTAGTAAAACAAGCTTGAATTGATATAGTCTGCCAGGTACTTTGTTTGCAGCTGACATGGTTTAAGGATGGCTAAAGTCCTAAAGTCTACAGATAGAGAGGGTCGGAAGGGAAGTTTCCTCAGGTTTGGAATGAGAACGCTGTTGGGAATATAACAAGGTGAGTCGACTGGGAAGGAGAAGGGGGAAAGTAACTACGCAACAGTTGGGGGCAATGAATATGGGGATAAAATGAGGGACACACCCCAAATTTTATTATAAATATCGAAACATACCTTCCCAAGAAACAATGTGTTGCTTTACATAGAATGAACGACAAACCGAGTGGATCACCAATAACACCGCCAGTAGGTGTCGGTAGATCTAGGCGGCGGAATTATTCTAATAACGGAATTAATTCACATGGAGAGCCTAGCCTGGATGTTCCTTCAAGGTAGTTGACAATTCATCTGATCAGTGTCTTGGGATATAGCTGGCGTTACCTTAGGAAGCGCGGCTCGCCTGCTCTTGTTTATGCGACTGTCTGTTGACTTCCGCTGGAGTACTCGAATAGGCTTTGCTGAAAGTCATTTGGCCGATCTTTGGTCTGGGCTGATCTATTGCAGTTAGAATTTGCTGCAACTTGCATTCGCTAGGGGTAATGCTCATACAATTCTAACAAACTTGTATTTCGCAAATTAGGCGTGTAGATGCACCCAGCTCGTCTAGTCAGCATCAAGGAAGTACATCGTCCGACACAATGTCGAACCAGCCCTCTCCAACATACACAGCAGGGGAGCCCGCGCACACATCTAGCACATACACCGGAAATAATTACTTGGTCAGGTCACCAATGTATTCTGCTTCTTCCGCTCGTCACCAACAGGCGCAGAACTTCAGTAGTCAGTCGCCACCAGCAAATTCGGCGATCTCTGCGACGCCATACTCGCCTTTCTCGCCGCAATACTCCTCATTCTCGACACATACAAACGGTATTTCTCCCACGTATGTTCCGCGATCACAGAGACAAGGTTACACTTCGCCTTATATGCCATCATCACCGAATTATCCAGTGCCAATGTCGTCGTTATATTCACCATCGTCACCTACATATACTACTTTGAACTATTTTAACATTCCTTCTTCAACGGGATTCCATAGCACAAACACTTCGACCTACATAAACGTGACGTCACCTACGCATGACAATACACAAACTCCATCATCGTCATCACCATCGTCGTCATCGTCATCGTCGTCGTCACCATCATCATTCTACAATTTCTCTGCTCTCAATAGCCCATACGCGAATGGTGTCTCCGTCAATCCGATAAGATCCGGTCAGATTGCTATTCAAAGTCAGCCATCGACTACCGCGAGACAGTTGCGTAATTCACATCATCGAAATCCACGAAATTCTGTTGGAGATTCCTCAATGCTTGTGATGCGGTACTTAATCTGCATTTCAATTAACTTTGCTGAAAAGGGTTTGTTAGTTCAATATCGAATTTACGCTTCCCCTTTGCAGATATTACAGACAGTTGACAAACGGCTGCTTAAGGAGAAATTGTGTTAACCCATATTGCGCGTCTAATTCAAGTAAGCTAGCAAAGTTTGCCTTTATCAATGATACCCTCATATGTTAACTGTCTCGGTTGTGTTTGTAGATTTTACGCGCTGTGACAATCATGAAGCCATGGTTTTGGCTCAATCGCTAGCGGCACAGGGTGAATCACATATATGTAATAATGCAATGGACGACAATTCAAATGGATCAACTATGAGTAAACTTCTGGATGATGCCGATATCCGTAAGTTAATATTTGTGACTGACTAAAATAGGTGGTTTCTATGTGACACGTATCCGGTTTTTAACATGACTGCTACGGATATCGACAGCTACCCATGATACCCTCAATTATGCCATATTAGAAACACTATATAATGATTGTAAAGAACGGGGAGATTACAGTGATTTGTATCGTATTGTATATAATGTATTCAGCAACCACTCAAAGCTAGCCAACAGTTTTAAACAGGTTTGGAATATCTTTTATCCTGCTGGTACCATGTGATTACAACCACGTTGACAACAGAATTTTTTCTATAGATGGATCCTTATTACAAAGAACAGTGCCCTCTGGATATTGAAGGAATTGGCAAGAGTTACAATCTCATAGCAAAAGACTGCCCCGATAAGAAAGGAAGCAAAACTCTGGTCACCGCGACAATAGAATTACTCGAACGAATTAAGAGTAGTTATGAGACATTACAAATAGAGACATTGGCATGTTTTATCATAATATTACGAAACCCACTGCTAATGGACCCTGCTGAACATGCTGATGTCATGCCATTATTGGTAGAGATTATTGCCGGACTACCAGAGAGTCGTAAAAAAATTCTCTGTCAATACTTTTTAGCAGAAAGACCAAGCAAATCTAAGAGTTATAATGAGAATAAAACCGAATCAATAAAAGGGAATGATGGCGATGCAAAGGCAACTCTCAGAGAGGATTTTCGGCATTATGTTATTCTATTCCAACATTTTATCACTTTACGTCTATTGACTCGAGCGACAACTCCGAATAAAGATAAAGCTGTCATGAACGCAACACGGTGTCTGAGCATGTTTTGTGAGTGTCGGCCGAACTCATTCTTAAGTAATAATCATAATTGAGTGTGTCTGTATACAATAACCTAAAAATTGTCTTTTCGGCAGACAAGTTAAACGAGGAGAGGGCATTATTACATTTCTCGGAATTTTACAATGATGCAGTCAACGAAACCATCGATATTAAGGATGATTTTCCGCATTTCAAGCAAAAAGATGGGTAAGTAGCGAGCGAATATTGCTTGTCAAGTGTTCTCACTATTACTGAATCGTATGTCTTTGTTCCCATCATTGCTAGGTTTTCGTTCTGTGACCATCCTTTCATTTTGACCCCAATAATAAAAGCAGACGTTTTAAAGATAGAGAGTATGGTACAAATGCGTCATGAACTGCAGGTGTGTGTCGTGACAGTTCAATGGTTTGTATTCGATTGTAAAATATCTAACTCAGTTTCATTTCGGAATTTTTATGAAAGGACTCATTCTTTAGGGCAATGTTTATTGGGGTAAATTCGCCCTACTTAATTCTGGAAATCCGAAGAGACCATATTATAAGAGATGCATTGTATCAGGTACATGACATACTCTACCAGTAGTCAACAAAGCTCAGTGCACCATTCTCATTTCTCATATTCACTATTACAGCTTGAATCGAAGTCACCGCAAGATCTAAAAAAACAGCTCAGAGTCCAATTTGCAGGCGAAGACGGCGTAGATGAAGGTGGTGTACAGAAGGAATTCTTCCAGCTTGTAGTGCGAGAGATGTTTGATCAGAAATATGGTAGGTTTTATTTCGGTTGCTTCGATATTAACGTAATTCTACCCCTATCCGATCTAGATTTGTGTTAGATCGACTAGTACTAACATGGTGACAGGCATGTTCACGCAGAATGAAGAATCGAGATTGTGTTGGTTCAATCAGAATCCATTCGATGAGTCAGCTCTTGACGAATATAAGTTGATTGGAAGGTTACTAGGGTTAGCGATATATAATTCAGTTATTTTGGATGTTCATTTTCCGGTAGTATTGTATCGGAAATTGAAGGGGCAGCCTGCTACTCTGGCTGATTTAAAGGAGTTGGACCCAGTAAGGAGACATATTCCCGTTGTCGTATTTCTTGTTCAAGATTGTTTCTCATTCGAAATTAATTATTATTATATATATAGTCATTAGGTAAAGGATTGGAGCAGTTATTGGAATTGGAGGATGATGTTGAGTCGACGTATAACCGTACTTTCCAGATTGAATATGAGTCGTTTGGACATCGCATTACTCACGAATTGAAGGCTAGTGGAGCCCATATCAAATTAACAAATGATAATCGACAAGGTTAGATAAACTGTAACGATTCACTCTTTATCATTCATTGGTACTCGAACACTCGACCGTACTCAACGTTCGACTGGTTTGTTATACAGAATTCGTCGACCTATTTGTTGATTTCTGGTTAAATAAATCCATCACGAGACAATTTAACGCTTTCAAAGAAGGGTTCGATCTTGTTTGTGGCGGCAGTGCAATTCAAGTGAGTAATATATGCATTGCGAATCGGTTATTATTCTTGGTGTAGCTTATTGGGTGTTTGTATGCTCTGTGTAGCTCTTCCGTCCAGAAGAGATAGAACAATTAATGTGTGGTAGTCGTGATCTGGATTTTGAGGCACTGGAAAACGTAACGCAGTATGATGGCGGATTCAACAAGAACTCGCAGGTTGTTAGGTGAGTCAAAACATTAATGTTGACTTCTCAATCATTATGGTAGATTGCTGATATGGCGATTAATGATATCACAGGAACTTTTGGGAAATAGTCCACGGATTTACCGAAGAACAAAAAAAGCGGTTGCTCTTCTTTACGACCGGTAGCGACAGAGTTCCCATAGGTGGTTTGAGCAAATTACAGTTTGTGATTGCCAAGAATGGTGGTGATTCAGATAGGCTACCTACCTCGCATACATGTTACAATGTGCTCTTATTGTGTGAATATAGCTCAAAGGAGAAGCTAAAGGAACGTTTATTGACCGCAATAAGCAATGCAGAAGGATTTGGAATGATATGATTATAGATGCTATTGGAGAATGGACGATGGGTTACCTGATCATTCTGAAAAGCCCTATTGATTATTTATTGGCTATAATTATTTATGTCTAAATATTTAATATTTAATCTTATGTATTGTCGTATTGGACGTAGGTGGTTGAGAGCGGGCTAGGTTACGTCTACATATCTAATACGATGCTACCATCGCCACGCCGAGAAGACAAATCGATGTAAAGATTACATAAAATTATTAGGTACTCGACACAAACTGATTGACTTTATTATTATACTGAGTTGGTACTGAGCAGTATGCAGTTTCGCAATTTGTTGCTGCGCTAGCTAAGATGGAAACTGAACGTGTTTAATTTGTTAAGCTTAAATCTTTTTATTACCATACTTCGTTGCAGTTACAAGTGATGTATACTATTTTATGCGTTATACACAATGAGAATTATTCTAATGAAGATATCTCACACGCTGTATAACTAAAATGTCTACAGAAATCGATACAGCGGAATGTAAAGACGAGAATTGAAATAGCATTGCTCTTTCACAGATTAAGTCCATAAGATTTGGAACATTTGTACTAAGTAAGGCACGACAACTGGTATGCTTAGTAGGATCATTATCCCCATTAGTTTACGGATTTCTGGACATAAAGCTCTGCACTTGCGATTTTAAGTTTACGCCAATAATTTCTTTACACCGTCCCGAAATCTGATATTTTGATTTTGGAGAAGTGCTTCAGGGAGTATCTCTCAGATCATTACAAAGTAGATAGTTCGGGACTTTAAAGATAAAGCCGAGTGCATATATCAGCAACTCTATTGCTTTAAAGGTGTTCTATTCCCCACGCCTGTCAACATATACATCCTAAAGCGTGCCGCCTTCGCTTATTCACAACCAAATATCTTGCATCAAATAAATTGTTTCATGCTCTTCTTTGCACATTTTGGTAGCCGCTTTACTTTATATAGTATCATTGCTACTGTCCCCAATTGTACACGAAATTGAAAACACCCGTTCCCCTCTTTCTCATTATCGACTATATTAAACGTAGTTATAGAGCTAACTTAGAATTCAGTTAGTAATAACTGATCTGCAGAAAAACAGTCATACCAACTTCTTATTCAATCCATCTTATTTATCGTACCTAATTAGGGTTAGTGATGCATGTTAAACTAGCTTCTCTAAGTAGTGCAGAATAAATTAATACCCTCTCTGATGTAATTGCACATATTGACAACGCAAGTCAGTGAGCTGATTGGAACATTAAGACAGAGTTTGACAAGCTTTAAACTATTTGATCTGCTGTCATGTTCTGTATAGCAACAAATTTTACATGTGATCCTGTTTCTGAATTATAATAAAATTACTTTAATAACTAATTCTATAAGACGACATTTAGAAAGGAGAAAACAATTCTACACGGAACGTGTGTATCCTTTTGCTTTGACGATTTCAATTAGTATGATCGATTATTAAATAAGAAGTAACTCAGATATATCCCTATACTTAGTATTATAGTATCCCTTATTCACCAATTAAATAGCAACGACTAATATCAACAAAATCACTAAAATTACGATTAATATCCCGATACAGCATTCTGATCTTGATTCTGCATATCATAGAAGTTTGTGTTAATCAAAATTTAGACTTGTCCAATACTACTAATAATGCTCTCACATAGTGTCTCGTACTCTACCTTCATTCTTTTTAATAATATACGCGACCTTGGACATTGCCCTACTTAGACGACCTTGTACTTTATCAACTTGGTCACCAAATTCGTCCAGCAATCTACAAACGAAAGCAATTGATATACGAATAAGAATAAAAGCTCTGTACGCATAACCAGATAACATTATCCAAAGAGTCCCACGTGGTTTGGTCTTCAATTTCTTGTCCCATGATCGTAGCAATGTCATGAATATTCCGTGCTGTTCCATATAAAGAATCCAGATGCTCATCTTGCTCTTCTATTAGAACCTGCGAAAAGAAAGAATATGCATATACTATAATTGATGCTTGTAAAAAACAAACCTAATTATTCAAGGAAAACAACATAACGCACGCTTTGATGAACCATCTCATTCTCAATAAATGGTGAACTATTCATTTCGACATCTTCATATCGCACCCGGGAACCATTATCATCAACAGTGCGTAAAGCTCGACTGCCTTCCATCAATTCCTGTAACCGAAAAATTATAAGCAGGGGAAAGTTTCCATATTTTTATGACATCATGGCAAAGATAAACTAAATACCTGCCGTCGCTTACTATCAGAAGTCTGTAATTTCTTTGGTGGATCAGCCAAAGTTAAACGCATTTGCTATTTATTGAAACACAAATATGAAATAAGTTACATATATTCTATATTATCATTGCAAAACATGCGGACCAACGCAGACTTACACACCTGTATTTGTTCTCTCGTAGTCTCGACAAACTGCCGCCGAGAAACTACATCATGTTTTGTGAGGCCAAACTTTGAAGGGTCACTTTCGACAACACGTATACCATTATTAGTTAAGAATATATCAAGTGATCAGAAATGGCAAATTCATTGCTTAAAGGATATTAATGGTCTCCTCCAAGTCATCCAGATCCGTTCCAACATTTTGTAGCATGCCCGTTAGCTCTTCTTCAGTGCGTTGTAGTTCCTCATTATTTCGTGAGGCAACTGTATTATAAATACGTGACCAACTTTGGAATATGGTAGTAGCATTTGCAAAGTTTTGCTCAACTTCTCTATAGTGAAATGCCTAAAGTAAATTAAAGAACAAGAAACAACGAAGTAATTCAAGATTACTGTGGAACCAGAAAACGGCCTACTCTTTGACGGCAAAGAATGGATCTTTGGTGTACATGGTGTGAGAAAGTAAAAGGAACAATATTATTTAATAAGAATTTATTTACATTGTGCTCCTTGAAATGTTATTGTCCAGAAACAATCGATTGGGTTAGACGTCACCACATTAATATTAATATTAAATATTAATATTAATAATAATGACAGATCAACGCGCTCAGCATTCTCGTTATTGAACGATGGATTTGGTCGAACTTTCAGAAGAGACTGTTTCCTCTTTTCAGGTGGATCAATATTCACCAGAAATTCAAGAGTCTCATGACCTTTTCTACACTATTGCCATCTTCTTCTTCTCGACTCTTCCGAGCTGGTTCTTTTCTCTTACATACTCAATATCTGCATGGATCCTCACTATTCTCTCTTGGTCCTTCACTCTTCAACTAAACTTTCCTACTGTGGTTGTACTGTTTTTACTCCTTCTCACCGGGATTCGCCTTCTGACTACATATTCCCGCTTGCCAACAGTTGCCCCTACAAATCAAGGAGGAGGCTTCGATCTCCACCCAGATGTCGTAGACGGACATGAGGCATCAATAAAAAATTGTCCTGATAAATTCTTGAGTATGTTTTTAGAGGGTATAAAAGTGTTTGGGTATTTGGAGGAACCGGTATTTCATGAGTTGGCTAGACATCTGCAGACAAAAAGGTTGTTAGCTGAAGATACATTAGATCTAGAGAAGGAGAGGAGTTTCTATACTGTAATTGACGGGCGTGTACAGGTATTCGTCAAGGTTGGAAATGAAAAGATTATCAATGCGGATCCATTCGAGAGCGATGATATGAATGGAGGATATCAATTACTGAATGAAGTTGAAAGTGGAGGGACCTTATCCAGTTTATTTACGATATTATCGTTGTTTACTGATGATGTTGAGTTACGATATAGCGAAGATCAACAGAATAGCGAAAAGGAAAATAAAGGAAAAGCCAGTGAGACAACATCCATGTCTTCGTCGCCAAATGGATCAGGCCAAGAAGCTTGGTCCAATGTCTTAACACATTTAGATAATCAAATCTACCCAGATGAAAATTATCGCACAGGCGAGAAAAATAATTTATTTCCATCAATTGGCTCATCTACTACTAAACCGCAAAAAAATACATCATTCGAGAAAGACAAGAGTCTTAATAAATCAGTTCATCCGAACATTATCGCACGTGCGACTGATGATGCTACTCTGGTTGTTATTCCTGTCGAGGCTTTCCACCGACTTACTGAAAAGTTTCCGAATGCAGTCGCACATATTGTGCAAGTGATTCTCACGCGTTTTCAACGCGTCACTTTCTGGACAGGATATAAATATCTTGGATTGACTAAAGACCTTTTAAGAACAGAGAAAGCAATGAATGACATTGCCAGTTATGGTTTACCGGCAAACTTTTTCCGACCTGGAAGCATGGAAAGATTGCGCCGAAAGTTTGTTAACGAAGGCAAGAAGAATCTTAAAGATGATGCAGTGCTTAGTGATCGTAGATTTATGAAAAAGGTTAGGCCTTACTCTCGCCCAGGGCAAGATTTAGCATATGGAAGTGATATCGAATTTACTCCCGCACCACGGATTCGCCCATCCTTTGTAGATGAACCGCGAATTTATTTACAGGAAAATTATCTCAACGCACAGAATAAAACCTTGAAGCCTGCACAAATCATGCCTAACAAGGATTTTGATGCAGAAGATGAGATGCATCTCCAAGAATCTGTTTATGAAGGCATTGCAAAAGGCATTGGCCTGCTACGACCAGCGGACAAAGCAAAGCCAGGACATTCTGAGACTGGAATACGCACACATTATTACTTTGATCCAATATCTACAGCTCCCTATCATTTATTTAGTAGCAGCCCATATAGTAGCACGACAACGTTGACGGATATCCTGGATGATGACTCAGTCACTGATACAACATCAGGTACCAGCGAATTTGATAGTGATGTAAAGATATTATTTTATTCAAAAGGCAGCCTTCTTATTAAGGAAGGAGAGCGTGACGTTGGACTGTTCTTTGTGATCGATGGGTTGCTAGATGTATCTGTCTCTTCTGTGGATAAAAATTTCTTGGGAACAGATATGCCATCAACGCCAACGAAGAAACCCAAAGATAATGAATCTAAGAAACCACCAAACAAAAGAAGGGACTCGCTTAATAATGCATCAAAGCAAACGAATGATAAAAGTCTTTTTATGATCAAGCCAGGTGGTATTGCTGGATATCTTGCTGCATTGACTGGTTTTCCATCATTTGTAAATATTCGCGCCAGCACGGATACTTGTGTTGGTTATCTACCAAAGGCGGCATTAAGCAGGCTAATGGAAAAGAACCCCAACATTCTTCTTACACTCGCCAAGCGATTGATTGGTTTATTGTCACCATTAGGTAATCTATCGTTTACATAAGTTGAACTGAATGCCATCCATAAGTTTGGGTTTTAACCTTCCCATTACGTTTGATCTGTAGTTCTTCATATCGACTTCGCAATGGACTGGATGCAGGTCAACGCTGGACAAGTGTTATTCCGTAAAGGAGATCCTAGTGACTCTATTTACATTGTTCTTAATGGACGTGTGCGTGCAATTAACGAAAGCGTGGATGGAACTATCGACATTATTGCAGAATACGGTCAGGGACAGAGCATTGGAGAATTAGAAGTCATAAGTACGTATTATTCCGTTACTTTAAATTTTAATTTTTTACTTTATGTTTCTAAGTTATCATTCAATCTGTAACATTTCAGCCAACACTCCACGCCCGTATACTCTCCACGCAATCCGCGATACCGAACTTGCACGCATGCCTCGCACTCTTTTTAACGCTCTTGCTCTTCGTCACCCTGAAATTACTCTACATATCTCTCGCCTCATTGCCTCACGTACTCGTCTTGAACAAGATCGCGAGTATAATAACCGCGGCAATGCAAGTTCGGAATTTGGAAAGAACAACACCAACCTTAAAACAGTTGGCATACTTCCTATCAATACTGGAGTTCCTATAACTCAATTTGCGGACAAATTAAAGAATGCATTAGAGATGGCGGGGGAGACTACTATTTTGTTAAACCAAGCTTCTGTTACATCTGCCTTAGGAAAACATGCATTCAGTAAGATGGGTAGGTTGAAATTGATAAGCTGGCTTGCTGAACAAGAGGAGAAGGCGAGGATAGTGCTTTATTTGGCGGATGGAGGAGTTAATTCTTCGTGGATGCAAAAGTGTATCCGACAGGTTCGTTGAGGGATATGATGCGTTTGAATTCAAGATGAACCAGAGATAGCGGATAAATACTAACAGTATAGCGTATGTGTAGGCGGATTGTATTCTTCTCGTTGCGCTTGGTGATGGCGATCCTTCTATTGGCAAATACGAGCGATTGTTAATCGGTGCCAAGACAACTGCTCGAAAAGAGCTAGTTCTTCTTCATTCTGATCGATCTTGTTCGCCTGGTACTACTCGTCAATGGTTGAAGGTAATGAGAACGAGCAAGTTCATGTATTATTCGTTCGTGTCATTATTGTTAACCTCACATTTTACGTGTACGATTTTAGGATCGTTTGTGGATACACGCGCATCATCATGTTCAAATGCCTCTCGAGAAACCAACGATACTGGAACAGACACCTAAAAGTCCTTTAATGAACATCAGAGATCATATATCCAACTATTATCCTCGTATTCCTCCGCAAAGATCGACAACTTTCAGCGGGAATCGTAGTGATTTTTCTAGGTTTGTTTTTGTCGATATGTTTTATCACATCTCTTTATCGATTCATCATTTGCTTTAGCCATTTAATACTCTTATCCTTTTGCAGACTTGCCCGACGTTTATGTGGGAAGTCGGTGGGATTGGTGTTGGGTGGTGGTGGTGCGCGAGGTTGTGCACATATTGGTGTGCTTCGTGCATTAGAAGAAGCAGGAATTCCAATTGATATGGTGGGTGGTGTCAGTATTGGATCATACGTGGGAGGTCTATATGCTAGGGTACCAGATCATGTCGCTATAATTGGACGAGCTAAAGCATTTTGTGGGAGAATGTCTAGTAAATGGCGCCAGATATTTGATTTGACATATCCACTGACGGCTTGGTTTTCAGGTAAGGCAATGACAAAGTTATCAAGAAAGGAACGGACCATTAAAAGTAATCACGCGTATTGGAACAATTTTCTTTTATATTCTAGGACATGAATTTAATCGAACTATATGGAAGTCTTTCTTTGATACTCAAATAGAAGACATGTGGTTATCATACTTTGCGGTTACAACAAATCTAACGTGGTCCAGAATGGAAGTTCATCAGAGTGGGTCTGCTTGGAGATATATAAGAGCATCCATGTCATTAGCAGCTTTTCTTCCACCATTATGTGAGAATGGTGATTTATTGCTGGATGGAGGATACATGGATAATCTGCCGGTAATGTATAACAAGCTATATCGAGTGATCTCTATTATTCCCTTTTATTAATGTATCAATAGTCATTATGCAATGCAAATTATAATGATGTACTAAATATTCTATTGCACAACATATGTACAGGTTTCAGTGATGAAGTCGATGGGGGCAAAGACAATATTTGCCGTTGACGTCGCTGCTCACGATGACACCTCTCCCGTTTATTACGGAGACTCTATCTCCGGCTGGTGGGTCTTATTTAATAGATGGAACCCATTCCGTCGCGGAGCCAAGATCCCTACTATGACAGACATTCAGTCACGCTTGACATATGTATCAAGCGCTAGAACTCTGGAATTAGCAAAGAAAACACCCAACTGTTTCTTCATGGAATTGCCTGTACAACAATATGGTACTCTGGAATTTAATAGATTTGAGGAAATAGTGGAAGTGGGTTACAAGGCGGGAAAGGAAATGTTGAACAAATGGAAGAAAGAGGGAAAGTTGAAAGATTTGTTCGACAAGGGAGATGCAGAAACTAAAAGAGGGCGTATTCGCCGACGTAATAGTGTCTAACATAATTAAAATATAAATTATTATCCTTTAAGTTTCGAGTTATTGTTCATGCTAGAGATTTTCTTCAATTATAATATCTTCATTAACCTCCTGAATGACGTATATCACACACATAATGACTCTCTATGTCATTGAACCTTGTTTCGGTGAACCCGTGTCTCCGGAAGTCCCATCAAATGGGTCTTTGCCGCTGACCTTCACCGAAGTAATGGATATAATGAGGGGTATTAAGATTATGACGATCAGAACGATAACCCAGCGAGGTATTGGACAGTTTTGACGTTGCTTTCTCCGTTGCCGTCTTCTTGACTGACGTTCCTCTTCCGCTATATTTACAATGTGCGGTCGTGAAGAAGTGGAGGCGCGTGCAGGCACAACTGAGCTATATGGAGGTGGCGGTTCAGCCGACGGTTGGAAGTGCACGTTTCCATACTTGTATGTATATGTATTTGCGTAATTTGAGTCTGGACTTGAATGCGTATTATAAATGGCCGGCGGTATTTGAATTAAATGTGAAGCACTTGAGGACGTGGGTGTAATTGTTGTAGGCTCTGATGTTTTTACATCCGACGTTTGGAAACTCGTTTGTGGAGGTGGTGTTTGTGGAGTCTGTTCTGGTACCGGCCCTCTTTGTGA